AGTACACACCGACAAAGGAGATTAATCAGAACTGACTTTGACAAGCACTGTGGCAATTGGACAATTAAAACAGACATTCGGATGGTGGGGAAGAAGAACAAACTGGGGAGGAGGGTGGAGAGAATGGTGCGGCAATGAAGGAGTGAAAGCCCAGAATCCCTGTGAATGTTCATTGAAACTAATAAAATTAAAAAAAAAAAAATAAAATAAAGGAGCTCCCGGGCGAGGTTCCCGGGTCTCAAAATGGAGAACAAGGAAGTTGGCTTAGGATGTCTTTGGGAGGGTTTTTATAGCAGGGTCTTTAGGGAGGGAAGGGAAAGACATTACATTGTGGTTTATGGTTCAGCCAAGTGGGCAAGGCTGTTTATTTACTCCTTTTGTTGACCTGTCTTATTCTTTGAATTCTTTATTCTCCCCCTTGGCCTTGGCTTAACAGTTAGATGCCATGGAGTCCAAGTAAGTGACCCTAAGTACAACAGATTTGTTGGCTGTTTTTTTTTTAATTGTTTTCTGTAAAATATATTTGAACCATCCTATCCTGTGCTGTCCTCAAAAAGTCTCTGTCACTGTGTCAATCTACCTAGTTGAAGGTCTTCCTCTCTTTTGCCATCCCTCCAGATTTCCAAGTATGATATCCATATCTAAGGAATAACTTCTCCTAGCAATGTGCTCAAAGTATGTGAGAGGAAGCTTTACTATCTTTGCCTCCAAGGAACACTGTGGCTGTCCCTTCTCTAAGCTGTATGTTTGTTCTTTTGGCAACCCTTGTGATATTCAGCATTCTTCTCCAATGCCAAAGTTCAAGGGCACCAATCCTTCTGTTGTCACCACTGAACTGATAGCCATCAACAATGTCTATGGTTTTTAAGTAGTAGGGAGGATAGAAGGAGAATTGACACCTTTGAGCTGTGGTGCTGGAGAAGAGTATTGAATGTACCATGGACTGCCTAGAAAACAAACAGATTCATCCTAGAGAGGGTTAAACCAGGCTACTCCTTGGAGGCAAGGATTCTGGGGCTTCGCCTGACATACTTTGGACATGTTGTAAGGAGAGACAGGTCTTTAGAGAGGGACATCATGCTGCGTAGAGTAGAGGGACAGCGCAGGAGGGGAAGACCCTCTATGAGGTGGACTGATTCAGTGACTGGGGTCATTGGGATGGGTGTGTCAGAGGCAATGAGATTGGCACAGGATAGAGCAGGGTTTAGGACTGTTGTACATAGGGTCGCTATGAGTCGCAAAAGACTTGATGGCACATAACAACAACAGAGACCTCCAGACAAACTAAACTCCTCACCACTGGCAACATCATAATTGTTGTTGTTATTGTTATGTGCCCTAAACCCTGCCCTATCCCTTGCCAACCTTATTGTCTCCACACACCTCTCTGCATTATCCCAGCGACTGAATCAATCTGTCTCATCACGGGTCTTCCTCTCTGTGCTATCTCTTCACCCCCCACAAACATGATGTCCCTCTCCAAGGACTGATCCAACCTTGCATCATGTCCAAAGGATGTCAGACAAAGATTCAGAATCCTTGTCTTCAAGGAGCAGGCTGGCTTCATTCTCTTTAGAACAAACTTGTTTGTTCTCCTAGCAGTCCATGGTATATTCAATACTCTTCTCCAGCACCACAGCTCAAAGGCATCAACTCTCCTTTATCATATCTAGTCACTGTCCAGCTCTCTGATGCATAGCAAGTAATTAAAAAGACCACGGTCTGTATCAGGTGTACTTTGGTCTCCTGATTGATATCGTTGCTCTTTAGTACTTTGGAGAGGTCTCTGATAGCAGACTTTCCCAATGCAATTAGTCTTTTAATTTCTTGGCTGCTGGTACCAAGAAGGTTGACTGTAGAGCCAAGCAAACTGAAGCTGTCAACAATCTCTACATGATAGACGAAGAAAAGACTAAAGTTGTCAATGACTTCATTATACTAGCATCCACAATTAACAACCATGGTAACAGTGGTCAAGAAATGAAATGACTGCAACAATGAATGAATGGAAATCCAAAGTCTCTGTAAATTTTTATTGAAATTAATAATAAAAAAGAAAAAAAAAAGAAATGAAAAGACATACTGCAATTGGAAAGTCTGCTGTCAAATGCTCAAAGTAAGGATGTCAGTTAGAGACCAAGAACCTGATCCAAGCCAACGTATTTTCTTTTTAATTTTTTTTTTTTTGTATTTTCAATTGCTTCTTAAGAATCTGGAAGTAAAATAATGAATCAGGATGACAAAAGAAGACTCGATGCTTTTGAATTGTGGTGCTTAAGAGTATTAAATGGACTGCTGAAAACCCCAATTAAATCTGTCTTAGAAGAAGTGCAATCAGAATGGTCTTTAGAGATAAGGATAGTGAAACTTCATCTCACACACTTTGGAGTGTTACCTGGAAGGACTAGTCCTTGGGAAATGGGGAAGGCCAGAGAAAGAGGAAGGCTCTCAAAAAGAAAAAGAGCCAAAGTGACTAAGAGTGGGCTTGAGCATATCAGAGACGGGAGAGGATGGTCAGGATAGGGCCAGGTTCAGCTCGATTGTTCATGGGATCACTACCGAGTTTTAGTTGATTTGAAGGCACCTAACAACAGAGACCTTAAGATACCGAAATGATTTTAGACAGTAACAAAGTTTACCTTTCTGACAGCAAAATTGGAAATATACCATTATTTAAGAGTTTCCTGAGTTCTTACATTTAGCTCTTCATTTGATACAGTGGTTTTGGTAAATATTTTTTTTGAAAAATATTTACTGAAAAACTGAAAATACATTACATTTAAAGAGAGATGAAGGCTCTATTATTATTTGAGAATTTAGAACAGAAAACAAAGAGATTTACAAAGTTCTGGGGATCATCAGCAGAACAAGCCATTTTTTTAAAGCCACATCACTATCGTGGAGCTATTATAATACTATTTCAACCTCAAGAAAACAAAACCTCTTATCACTAGGCCAAGAGATGGAGAAAAGATTGAAATTTTCAATGATTTTATCATACTTGGATTCATAGTCAACGTCCATGATATAAGGAGTCAGGAGATCTGGAGACTTGCAGCCTTGGGAAAGTCTGCTGTCAAGGATATCTCCAAAGTCCTGAAGAGCTAACTTTTCAAAGAGAAGAGTGTACTGGAAGGGAGGGGTGGACAGGAAGAAAAGTGCAACAATGAATGAATGTAAATCCAAAGTCTCTGTAAATTTTAATTAAAATTAATAAAAAAAAAGACTTAGTTGTTCCTGATTCAAATGATAGTCCTTCTAGTCACCTGCTATGCATCTGAGAGCTGGACAATGAATAAGGATGATAGGAAAATAATTGATGCATTTAATTGTGCTGTTGGAGCATAGAACTGAGTAGATTGCCAAAAGAACAAACAAATAGTGTTGGAGATAGTGCAGCCAGGAGAAGCTTCATCTCACATACTTTGGACATATTGTCAGGAAGTGTTATTCCTTGGTGGTGGTGTTTTAAAATTTTTTCTATTTTTATTATTTTTTTGTGTGTACCGTCAAATCAGATCTGACTGGTACAGGAGGAGATTGTCCCCATTCCTGATTGGAAAGGTGGAAGGTCAGCAAAGGAGATGAAGACCCTGTCCTAGATGGACTGACATAGGTAGCTGGACAGATGGATTGACATAGTGCATACTGCAGCAATGGGCTCAAGTATGTTAGAGATGTTATGGTACAGGATAGGGCAGGATTCACATATACAGTTCACAGGGTTGTATGAGTCATACTAAGTTCAAAAGCAGGTAACAAAACTTATTCTCAGGGAGCTCTGGTGGCCTAGTGGCAAGAAACTGCACTGCAATCCCAGAGGTATGTAGTTCGAATCCACCAGATGCTCTGCCAGAGAAGGAGGGGCCATCTCCTCCTGTACCAGTCAGATCCAATTTGACGGTACACGCACACAGAAAATAATAAAATTTAAAAAAATTTAAAAAAATATTTATAAAAAAAATAAAAAAAACTTATTCTCAAAGTGAACAATCTTGTATAAAAATCTACTAAGTGTACCAGTTATTTTAATATATGAAGAAATGATTGTTATTGTTTGTAGTTTCCCCTGTCATTTAAGTATCTCAGATAAATAAAACCAACACAAAACCTGATTTACTTACTTACCCACAAAGCTGAAAGTTCTACGAACACATATGGTTGAAAAATTCCATTTTGCCCTTAAGTTGTCAGCCAGTTGACCAGAGAGTATCATACACAACCAACAGCCAAAATAAGGCAATGCTGATAAGAGCCCATTCTGAAAGAAAAAGAAGATATGGTACTAAATGTGGTGAGAGGGTAAAATCAAAACCACACAACACCCTCCCCCCAAACGTCACCACTTTGAAACAAAGGGGAGACATGACAATAGACCTTTTAAAAGTAATTTTTTATGTAATTAATGTTTATATGATCATAGTTGTGAAGTTTGCTTTCAAAAGGACTATCTTATCAGTTCAGAACAGTCACTGACAGTCTGTCTCAGAGGGAATCAGGTTTCCCACAGGCCAGGCTGGCTGCTCAAGGTCCTTCTGTGTGTTCCCTTGAGGCATGGGTTGGAACTGGAGTGACCTGAGCTGGAGGCTTCCATGAGAGAACATAAATCCTCCTTACTAGCCTATGGACTCCCGCCACTAAACAGGTTTTGTCTCTAAATTTTAATTTGTTATTTACATAAAAAAAAGTTTTTACTGCAAAATTGAATACTAATTGAGAAAAAACCCACACAAATTAGGTGTCTAGATTAATGACTCATTCTGAGGCAAATACTATCCAAACCAAGAAACATTATTAAAATCACCCCAGCAGCCCCTTTCACGGTCCTGGCTCAGCCACAACCCATAATACCCCTTCTTTTTCTACTACCCTGATGTGGATTTATTTATAGCTACATCATCCAAATGTGCATCCCCAGAATACCACAGGTTAATCTTTACCATTAAAAAAATGAGAACTGTCTTTTGGGCCTCTTTTAATCTGTAAATTCCTCAGCCATTCCTTTCCTTCCATATAATTTATCAGTTGAAGAACTGAGGCCACATTTTATTAATTTTTAGAAGTATCAAGTAAAAAAACCCAAAAAAGCCCCACCACAAACCAACACAACTAAAACAAACAAACAAACAAATCCTATGATACAAGGAAGTGACCTGAACACTAAAAAAGTGTATTATACATTTTTTCTTTTATAGAATCTGGGATCCTTCCTTGGTTTTCTCTTTTTTTAATCACATTTTTAATCTGTGGCTAACCTTGAAAAGAATGGGAATCCCAGAACATCTAATTGTGCTCATTCAAAACCTGTACTTGGACCAAGAAGCAGTCCTCAGAACAGAGCAAAGAAAAACTGCATGGTTCAAAATCAGGAAAGGAGTGTGTAAGGAATGTGTCCTCTCCCCATACCTTTTCAATCTGTATGCAGAATAGATCATTCAGGAGGCTGGACTTTATGAGGAGGAATGTGGCTTCAGGACCGGGGGAAGAATCCCCAACAAACTGCATTATGCAGATAACACACTCTTACTTGTTGAAACTGAGCAGAGTCTGAACTGTTTACTATAGGAGGTCAAGGACTGTAGTCTTCAATATGGGTTGAAGCTCAACATCAAGAAGACAATGATTCTCACCACTGGGCCAATTGGCAGCATCATGATAGATGGAGAAGAGATTGAGATTATTAACAATTTCAGCTTGCTCAGTTCCACAATTAACATTCTTGCACCAGCAGTCAGGAAATCAAAAGATGAATTAGATTAGGAAAATCTGCTACGTCTTCTGAGCGTTGAAGAGCAATGATGCCAGTTTAGAGACTGGTGTCTTGATACAGGCCATGGTCTTTGCAATTACTTGCCATATATCAGAGAGCTGGACAATGACCAAAGATGACAGAAGAACTGATGCCTTTGAGTTGTGGTGCTGTAGAAGAGTCTTGAACCTCCATGGACCTCCAAGAAAACAACTAGGTCTTTCTTGGAGAGGGTGAAATCAAGTTTTTCCTTGGAGGCTAGGATTTTAAAGCTCTGTCTCATACTTTAGGCATGTGGCTAGGAGAGACCAATGCTTGGAGAAGGACATCTTGCTTGGAGTGGTGGAGAGACAGTGCAAGAGAGGAAGACCCTGTATGAGATGATGGATTGACATAGTAACTGGGATGAGGGTAGGTGTGTCAGAGGCAGTGAGACTGTTTTAGGATCAGGGTCGCTGAGTTGGAGTTGACTTGACAGCACATAACAACAATAGTCATAATCACTATCCATACTATCGGCTTAAAAAAACCCTCCTCATTTCTTTCTGCTACTCTGCATGTCCACACTCTGTGCCCTATTCTTGCATAGGGTCCTGCAACTGTCTTTATTTTCAGCCTAGATGTTCTCATTATAAAAAACTCTTCATGCTTCCCTAATCTAAGTTGCATGCTTCCTACTGATTACTACTTCCAGCATATTCTCTCTAGAACTTGATCTTAGCAGGTCTTCCAATTCATTCAATTACCCGCTGAAAGTTGGACGACTAAGGATGACAGAAGAAGAACTGATGTGTTTAACTAGTGGTGTTGGAGAAGAGTACTGAATATTCCATGGACTGTCAAAAGAACAAATACGTCTTGTAGAAAGTATAACCAGGATGCTCCTTGGAGGCAAAGATGGCGAAACTTCATCTCACACATTTTAGGTATGTGTTTAGAAGGGGCAATCCTTGAAAGGGACAACATGTTTGGAACGGTAGAAGGTCGGCCAAAGAGAGGTCCCTCAATAATGTGGATTGACACAGGGAGCTCGAATATCTCAGAGATGATGAGAATAGCATAGGATAGGGCAAAATGCATTGTTCTGAGTCATAATTGACTTGATGGCACCTAACAACAACCATCTTTTCACTCTCTCTTGCCGTTTTGTTCCTCTTTGATCTTTAGCTAACATTAACCCCAGAGTCAATCATGATAATAATTTCCTTCCCCAGGCCCTGTACTTCGTGCTCCTCACTCAGTTAATCTTATACCTTTGACAAATCTGTCGCCCTTGTTAAATTCTACTCTGCACTTCCCTCTGGGCAGTTGTATGTGGTTAGAGAAAAACACCACTACTGCATGTGCTTGTCCTCCTTTAGACTCACAGCTGCTTAACTGCACTGGGAGGTCCTTGATGCAGGCAATCATACCGTTTCTGGTTCACTCAAGGTGACTCAACCAGCTGGCTACTTCATATTCTGTTCTCTTTACTCAAATCCCCTCGTGGCTGCCAATAGCGTTTCTCTATTGGACATTCTAGAAGTGAAAGTGAATACTAGTTATCTAATATACTGGAATATTACTGGCAATCAGTAAAGTTTTAGGGGAAAATGGGAACTAAAAGATATCTTGAATCAAGATTTAGCACACAATGAGGAAAGAAAGAATAATTGTGGAGGCCAAACCATGATGTCTCTGAGATTCAGTTGTCACTGTTACGGGTCTTCAGGTTGGAACTGACTCAGAGCTAACTCCTCGGTGGGTTTTCAGAGGTAAATTACCCAGGAGGAGTTTGTCCATCTTCTCCCAGTAGAGCAGCCTGTGGACTCAAATGCTGTGCCTTTGGCAGTGCAAATCCTTACCCACTAGGCCACCAGAGCTCCCTTAACACTCAGTATATCTGAATAAAATGAAAGTTACAAAATAATTCCGACTATTGCATAGGTAAAAGCAAACTCTGTATGCAGTTTAAAAATGTATATGCTATGTAAGAAAAATTACACAGGTGGTTGATTATGTCCTCTTACCTCTTGAACATTGAACCTTAGAATCTCCTTCATATAAGTAGGCAGTAATGTCAATAAAGTATAAAATGTCCAATTGTATGAAAAATGTGCAACTACAATAGCCCAAAGTGGCAATGATTTTAGCATAGAAATCCATGGCACCAACTTCTGTGAAGAAAGCTGAAGAAAACAAGGTCAATTAGGATAAGCAGAAAAAAGGTAATCATAATTGTAAGGTATGCTTACATTTAGATTTATCAGTTAAAATTTTATCTAGAACACATAAAGAATAGCAGTCTTGATCGGTAAATCCTAAGTGTTAAATAAACTCAGGTGACATAGGCCCCGAGTCCTGTTCTTTGGTTCTTGTGGACTCGACTTTTTTTTTTCTTTTAATATTTTTTTTAATGAATTTATTTATTTTTTTTATGTGTGTACCGTCAAATTGGATCTGACTGGTACAGGAGGCGATTGTTCCTCCTTCTTCAGCAGAGCATCTGGTGGATTTGAACCATGCACCTCTGGGATTGCAGTGCAGTTTCCTGCCACTAGGCCACCAGAGTTCGCCTTTTCTTTTAATATTTTAATTTATTTATTTTTCATTTCAGTGAACATCTACAGAGATTTTGGAATTCCATTCATTCATTGTTGCACCCTTCTCCCTGCCCCC